AGGTATGTGCAGCCAAGGTCATGGTCTCCTTTTGAAAAGACGTCTGCATAATTCGCCAAGAGTTCTCTAGCCTCAAGAGCCTGTGATGATGACAAATGGGCCATGCTCTTCTTATAGAGGTCAGTTAAATGTTCTGGGAGAGGATGTCCTTTCTCTATGGTTGTATTTCTTGCCTTAACATTGACTAGCTCTGCCTCCTGGCACACACCCAACAATGCCCTTTCCTTAAGTGTCTGCTCACATTTAGAGAAATTAGCCACTGTTATGGGTACTACTTGATGACCTGTCACAAGTGACCTTCAAATCTTCACGTCTGCTGGCCTGGATGGGTCTTCCATTGCTTTCACAAGCATCTGGATTCGTTGGGGATGTTCTTTTATTCTACCTCAAATTATCCTCTCTGACATAGGGTATTGTAATTGACTTAAGTGCTGTGATGTGCAAACCAACAGATGCAGTAACACTTACCGGAATTTCGCCTTTGTTGTTCCCAAACGTCATTTTATCGAAATTAATTACACACTTCCTCAGTAGTAAGTAGTCCAACAGTAATATGCATTGGTCTTCAATATCAGCCAAGTATACTTGGTGTCTGTCCTTTATGCTCATGAGCTCAATAATTGCCCACACTGGTCCCCACAACCTTGAAGAATGTCCTGTCACACCACAGAGCTTCTGTATGAATTCTGGTGCTTCTTTGTGTTCTAGCACCTTGATACTCACAAGGGTTTGCTGAGATGCAGAATCTATGACTTTTGACCATCCAGCTTTCCTGTTACATAGACACTATGTGTGCTTGCCATCTTACACTTAGCTGTTTGGACATTCACAATGAGGGTTAGTGGGCGTCCCTCAGCACCAACCACTACTGGTTTCCCCGAGACTGACTTATTCGTAGTACTCTTCTTACACTGGCTCCTCATACGTCCTTGCTCTCCACAGTTCCAACAACCTTTCTGGGTAGCAACCTTTCCTGTCGTGGCATCTTTCCTGTGTTAAAGTTGCTGGCATTGAGCTCTCTTCTGCCCAGGTTTGTTACAGTGCCAGCAAAGTCCCTCAAACTTTTCTGAAAGCTGCCCTTTTCTGTTCTTAAATCCTGATGACTGTACCAATCTTGGTACCTCTGTGCTGGACTTAACATAGGATTCGAATTCAAGAGCTCTGGTCATTGCATCCTGCATAATAGAGGGATGTTCTTGCTTTACTTGTATCTTCAGTTGTGAACTGTCCAAGGCATCTAGAAACTGATCCCTCAACAACAGCTTGAGAAGATCGGGTGGCACAATTGGGTAATCCTTGTGTGCCATACTTTTCAAACCCCAGCTCTCGTCCTAAACCTAACCCTGTAGACTTCGGACTGATTTTGAGTTCCATACCTGAGTTCTAGAGCAGCTACCAGTG